CTTGATCTCGTACTCCAGGATGATCCCATTGGGCTGCTCGGGCTCCTGCCACAGCAGCGACACGCTGGTCTGCCCGGCGCGCTCCTGCCGGATGGCCACCACCTGCGACGGGGCTGGGGGACCGTGGCCTGTAGGTGGGGGGCCCCTCCTGGACCCTTCCTCTGTCCGCCTACCCAGCGTCCCTATGTCTGTCCTGGGTCTGGCCGGAGTGGGACGCGCAGTGCGCTTGATCTAGGCGGATCTGGCAGCCCCAAAGCGACCCTCCCTGGGCCTGGCTGGAGCAGGCGCTCACGTCTTTCTCCCATCGGAGCTCAAGGGTTCTCGGGTCACACCAGGACCCCTGCTCCCAGCACCCACCCTCCACCCCCACCTGTTTTCCTGAAGGGAGGCTGCTGGGAGGTGTTGGATACCGAGCCGCCAAGGCCAAACTGGACGTACCCATTGGCTGCATCCTGTTCCGCCCTCTCCCTCACGTCTCCCCCGCGCCCCTTCTGACTGCCCCACACTGGCATGTCGCCCCTGCCCCGCCTGGCCATTCCTCGCTGTCCCAGTATGACTGGGAGCTCCCCGAGGGAAGGGACTCCACACAGAAGGTGCCCAACAAATGTTGCTGGATGACTGCAACTTGGAAAATCAAGAAGCAACTGCAGCCGGGCCTGGTGGTACACGCCTGTAATCCCAGCACTGGGGAGGCTGAGGCAGGAGGATGGCTGTGAGTTCGAGCCTGTGCTACACAGTGAGTTCCAGGTCAGTCTCAACTACACAGGGAGACTCTGTCTCAAACCCCACCCCCAGGAAAAAAAAAAAAAAAAAAAAAAAATGGAAGACAACTTTGTTTTTAATATATATTGACCTGAATGTTGTTTGGATCTATTATCATAAGCACATATTTCTGTTTTTTAGTTTTAAAAATACAATTGCCAAGATAATTTTTTGCAAGACAATATCTCCATCTAGTGGAGAATACAGAGCATATAATCACTAAGAAATTTCTGCTTTTAACTACACTTTTTTACAGTACTGCAGAAAATTCAAGAACAGCTAAGGATAGAAGAAGGTATCAGGATATAAACTCTGGAGAAGGGGTAACACAAAGTAGATTACCTTTTACTGAGTGATAAGGTTTGCTTCATTTAAAAGGCTGCCCAACTTTACAAGTGGCCACAGCAGACACCAGGGAGTCAGACCACAGAAAGAGGATGGTTACTGCCCAAAGTCATCATGCGCCATGGCCATGAAGGCAGGTTTAGCACATGAAGACTTTTTGTTGTAGTACCTTATACGGTGAACTGGGGCCTATCATCTTCTACTAAGTGTTATTATAAATTAATTCCTAAAACTGAATCATTCCCAAAACCACATATATAAAAAAAAACCTTTATTTTCTAGAAATGTTCTGCACAGATCTGCAGCCTCTCATTTATCAGGTGAAAGGTCATTCTACATATTTTACTGTTACTTAAACACATGGAACTGGGGGTGTAGTTCAGTAGTAGAATATTGGCCTGGCAGGTACAAGGCCTTGGGTTCTATTCCTATCACTGGGAAAAAAACGATTACAGTGCTAATTCTATATGTGTTACCTTTGATATCTACAGAAGTATCAATATTTGACACACTGGCTTTCAAGTCCTCCAAATCAAAGTTATCACATTCTTTCAGTATTTTGGCTTGGTTGAAATAATCATTAGTATCTCGTGGCTGAATCTCATTGAGAATCACTTGTAAGCGGCTTGCTGACTCTAAAGGAGAGAAAGGACAGTACATGAAATCCTACTTCCACAACACATGCTCTTTGGGGTACCTGCTCTCAAAAACTCCTGCAATTTTGAAAAATCTTCAGCCATTTTTATTTTACCTTGGAACTTATGATCCTGCCTCAGCTAGGTTAATGGTCCTGTTCTTCCAAAAAGAAAAAAGCTACTATTATTACCATTACCATTATTTTGAGACAGGGTCTCACTGTGTACTTCAGGCTGGCCTCAATCTCATGGGGATCTTCTTGCTTCAGTCTCTAGAGCGCTAAGATTGCAACAATACCCAGCTCAAAAAACAAAAAAAGTAGATAACCTTTTACTGAGTGATAAGGTTTGCTTAAAAAAGACTTTTTTGTTTTGGTTTTTTGGCACTACTGGAGATAAAACCCACTATCTCCCTACCCCCTGCTATTATTAACATTTGATAATTAGCTCTAGCAGAAGGAACTCAAAGGGTAGATAATGTAGAAATTATGCATACAGGGTATTATTCATATTTAAATGTACTTTAAGTTATAGAAATTTAGACTGAAGGTACGGCAAAACACAACTGAAGTCAGGCATGGTGGCATGCATCTATAACTCTAGCATTCTGGGAGGCTGAGGAAGGAGTATCATAAGTTCAAGACGAGTCTGAGCAACTTAGTGAGACCCTGTCCCAAAATTTTAAAAAACTTTATAAAGAGCTGGGATGTGTGTATATGTATATGTATATATATATGTATATATATCCATGCATACGTATATATATGGCTTAGTGCAAAGGCCCCAAGTTAGACCCCTAATTCCACCAAAAAAAAAAAAACCCTGAAATCACCGATAGAACAAAAACTGCCCTCTCATTTACACTGTTTTTTGGGTTTTTTTTTTTTAGTGTTGGCTAAGAATATCAAATATGGTGCATAATCATGGGAAAGGACAATCAACTTCATTAAGTCTTGTTTTAAGAAGTCGTTTCCCTATCTACAAGTTACTGAATTGTAGATTAGAAGGTTTTTTTCTTAATCTGCTTTTTAGCCAGGAATGTCATAAAGAGTGCCTCTTCAGCTTTGAATACATTATAGAATAATATAATGCTCTCTCGGTATGATTGCAGTCCTAGTACTACAGTGAACTTCGCTTTTATTATCATCTCACTGGATGAGAGGAGTGAGCCCCACAACTTGCTCACTACTGAGTCTGGGACAGGAACTAGTCCAAGGCACAGGCTCAGCAACACAGGTAAAGGCTGAATGCGTGACTGGGAGACAGCCAGGCTCGGACTGCTAAAAATACCAACAGGTAATTGCATAGAATCAATTAACAAATCAAAGGACAGGTACTGACAGAACACCCATAACTTCTACTTAAAAATATCTTGGATATGGGAAATATAAAGACTCAAATTTTATGATGATTTGACCAACATCTTACACTCATTTATTGCTTCCTGAAATTTTGCCAAAAATAAATTTAAAAAAAGAATGGGCTGGGTGTTGTGGCATACACCTGAAATCCCAGCACTCAGGAGGCTGTGGCAGGAGGATCACACTGGAAGTCAGAGGCCAGTTTGTGCTACATAGTGAGTTCAAGGCCAGTCTGAACTACATAGCAAGACTCTATCTCAAAAAACCAAAATAAATAGATAAAGACCAAAAAAGGAAAAAACAACCAAAGACCAAGAAAAAAAGATCAGAATAAAATTTCAAGAAATTGCATTGCTCTTAGAGAAGGCTTTTCTCAAAGAATTCAGAATGCATGGCAAATAATGAAGAAGCATGGAATATGAGAATTAAGGAAAAGTCTGGGCCCAAAGACAGTTTCTGAGACCAAATGATATTTTGAACTCTTTAATAACAATTTTAGCATCTATACAGGCTCTGCCTATAACAGGTGACTGAAAAAGTTGTGATCTCTCGTACACAATATACTGGAACTTGCTGACCCAAATATTAACTGTGAGACTAAATGCTCTTTATTCCCACATACTATCTAAGCAGGAATACTAAAGTACCCAAATTTAGTATGTAGACTAACAGCAGCCTAAATAAATACAGCAACTGTGTCTTCGCATCATGAACTATCCTAATCTCCCAACTTATTTTTAGTAGAAAAGAAAAAAACCTAACATTTTCTGTGCAAAACACGGGCCACTCTATCAGCCCAGGGTATTTCAGTGGATGGACAGTATGTGCCATGATATACTCAGAATGTTCTTAATACAAAGTTCTCACTTGTATTCCAAACTGCATTCACAATACAAAATGTAAATTTACTTCACTTTTTTTTCTGTGATCAATGTTCATATATGCCTTTAACAGCCAATCGCTTTGGACTATATAGTGCAGATATATGTCAATAGGACATCCCATCTTTGTTAAAAAGAGGAGGAGGAAGAAGGAAAAGAGAAGCAACAGAAGCAGCAGCAGCATTAGCACCAACAGCAGAAGCCAAACTATTATAGGACCTGGTCTGAGGTCTCCATAAAATATTCACTAAAGGAAGAGATTGGAGGTGCCAAAGGTTAAGTAAAGGCTATATGTAACATAAATTTTATGATTAGAAAAAACACTTTCAATATAGCAAGAAGGAAATGGAAGGAGACAAGAGTACACTCAAAGGAAATCAGTTGGGAGGCCCTGGAGTAATGTAAGCAAAACAAGATAAATATCTGGAGAAGGTGAGGAGATGCACAGAAAGAGGAAAGCAATTTAAGCAACTGAAGGCTAACACTGAAAGAACACAGAGATGGGCTGGGTGTGAGAAGCAAAGACAAATTAAGCAGGCTGAGGCTCCTGTTCGTATCAAGAGATCCTTAGTAAGAACATGTGCAAAGAGAGGGCTCAAAAGGAAAAAAGCAGACAAAAGTTCATGAACTCAATTTGGGACAAGTTAAGGATCCCTTCCCATTTTTTCTTTTATTGAACGGTTTCGGCATTTCAAATGGCCTTTGTCCACAGCAGACTGCTAGGAAGTTCCTTTAGTTCCCCACCTCACTAACTCATACTGCCTCCCCTCAAAGTCGCAGCAACCTCCTGGTCAGCTATATTCTGAAATAATAATAATAATACTACTATAAAACCCAACTTACCATGGGGGAGAATAGTACCTTGCTCATCATGGGTTCTCAGGTGGATTTTTTTAGCTACTTTTTGGCAGATGAATAATTAAAACTTTTTACTCTTAGACAAAAGATAGTAAACAACTTAACGGGCTATTTTTTAATAGTTTAAAATATTACCAAAATGGGCAAAAATATCACAGAAAATATTCCTGTTTTTTCCTCCCTCCATTTAGCTTTTATACCTCCCCAAAGAAATGATGAGAGACAGAAATCATCAAACAACATCACTGCAGGCTTGTCTGCTGACCTGAATCTGTGTCCATGGGGATGAGGCCCTCAGGAGAGGAGCTCTGAATGACCGGAGCCACCACAGCTGAAATCCTGTAGGACAGCAATAGGAGCTTCTCCACCACAGGTGTCCACTCACTCACCAGCTTCAGGCGGCTGCAATAAGGACATTAGTGACACTTATACTACAAGCAAAAAGTCACACGTTCAAAATGGAAATCCAGATTGGAGGACTTAAAAGAATGTGTTTCAAAATGGTGCAAAATATGAAATATGTGAGATATACAAATAAATATATAAGTAGATTTTAAATCTAACTTTCAATTATCTTTAAGGCAATATGACATTCCTTTCCTAGGACACAATCCTGTAAGAGATTAAAGCTCAAAATGTGTGTGTATCTGAAACCAGAGACAGTTGGGGATTTTCTTACTCTAGTGGTAACTTCTGCAGAGCTCTTGTTACACAGTGGATGCGCCCATACATTGGGAAGGATGCTGCTGCCCGAAGAAGAGAGTTTTCAGCCTGAGACACATCTTCATCAAGATTTTCCATCAAGCATTTGATAACTAGAAAAAGCAAACAAAAAACTGAAATAGTGCCAGCTGTAAAACACTTTTATAAACTAATAAGGAGCAAAATTTCCATGAGAACACCCAACTCCAATGAATTCAATGAAGTTTTGAATCAGAAAAAGATTTTCCAAGGTTACTTAAACCATTAACTCATTTTAGTTAAGGACAACAGTTAAAGAATTGAGCGTCATTTCTTAACTACCTAGATCCACTGCAACATTCACTCTGAACCAGTCTAGGACATCTAGCTGTGGCATCTAAATTTAGACCTATGTGATGTGTTATTTGACCAGAAGATGATTTTTTAATAACAGCTTTATTGAGATATAACTCACCATATAATTCATATATTTAAAGTGTACAATGAAGATAATGATACACAGTGTAATAACTATTATTTTGTTAGAAAATTTTATTTTTCCATAAAATAAAAAATAAAATGTACAAGTTAATGGTTTTTATTATGTTCAGAGATACATGCAGACACCAGTACAATTTTAGAACACTGCCTGCATAAAAAAAACATTACTCACTAGAAGTAACCACCCACCTTGCACCTGTATCCCCTCCCACCCTAAGAAACTACTAATCTGATTTTTGTCTGCAGATTTGCTTACTCTGGACATACCATACAAATGAAAATATACAGCAAAAGGTCTTTTGTGATTGGATTGTTTCACTTAGCATAATACAGTGGTACCTTGATTCACAAATTTGTTCTATGATTTTGGAAAATGTGGCCACGTTTGTGTTTGTGTGGGAAAGAAGGTCAAAGTCATGTTCATCATTCAATGCAGTTTGCAAACAAACACAAAATGTTGCCAAATGCTTCTGTCTATGAACCAAACTGTTTGCAAACGAAAGTGTTTGTGAAGGAGGCCGCTCTGCATTTTCAGAGTTCATCCATTCTGCAGCATCCATCAGTACTTCACTCCTTCCATGTCTGCGTAACAGCCCACTGCCTGGATGCATCACATTTGTATTCATCCATCCATCTGCTGATAGAGATGTGGTTCCCACTTTTTGACTACTCTGAATAATACTGCACTAAATTTTCTTGTACAAGCTTTTGTTTGGATTTATGTTTTCTTTTCTCTGGGTATATGCCTGTCGGGGACTAAACATATCCCACCCCTATGGTGTATGAAAGTTACACTTTCTCCACATGTTATTGTCAACATTTGTAATTATGTTTCTGTTTTCTTTTTCCTTTTTAATTACAGTTATTCTATGAGGCACTTCTATGAAGTGTTTCCTCATTATAATTATGATTCTGATTTGTACTTCCCTGAAGAGTAATGATAGTGAGCATCTTTTCATGCATTTACTATTCTTCTGTGTATCTTCTTTGAAGAAATGTCTAAGCAGTCTTTCTCCATTTTTTAACGTGGTTATGTCTTTTTATTAGTAAGATGAAAAAGTTCTTTCTAATAGTGTACCATTCTATGGGTTCTCGTTTTACCTTCTTGATGGCACCTTTTATTCAAGAAAAGCTATACATTTTGATGGAATTCAATTTACCTACATTTTTGTTCTGTTGTTTGTACTTTGGAAGTCACACGTAAGAAATTACAGTACTGATTAACCCAAGATCATGAAGACCGAGAGCTATGTTTCTTCTAAGAGTTTCATAGCTTTGGCTCTTACATTTAGGTCTGTAGTCCATTCTGAGCTAAATTTTATCTAGGATATAAGGTAGCAGATCCAGTTTCATTCTTTAGCATGTGGACATCCAATTAGCCCAGCACAGAAGGTGCCTCTCCTCACCCCTCTGAAGGAAAGGGCTATATTTTAAATTTCAGAATTGTATATAACCAGTAAACTATTAATATACAGAATATATAAAACTCATTAAAATCAACAGGAGAAAGACAAACAATTCCAAAGAAAACCGAACAAAGGACATCAACACACATTTCATGAAAGATGAAACATGAACGGTTTTTAAACCTGTGAAAAGATAATAAAATTAGTCATTAGAAAACTGCAAAGTGAAACCACAATACCATTTTATATTCTGTAAAGTTTTAAAAACTGACAATAGAAAACTACAGTGATGATGTCATACAGCACAACTCGTAATTTGTTGGTGGCAGTGTACTGTGAAAACCTATCTGGCATTAGCTCATAAAACTGAAGACATGCACACTTTGACCAGCTTAGTCCACCTTATTGTTCAATTGGCAGATCTGTAAGACAATGCTCACATTCACACTACTTAGAAAAGAACCAAGCCTATTGACAAAATAGATTAGTAAATTGGTATATTATATACGTTACTATTTTTAAAAATTCAGAATTATATAAAACCAAATAATACATAATTTAATCACACATGTAGGTAGTAAAACTGTATAAAAAAAGATGAAAGGTTAACGTAAAGCATGGGATGGGATAAAGGACAGGATTAAAAAATATGGGCATTTTTATTTTCAGAGGCAGTGTCACTATGCAGCTTAGGCTAGCCCTAAACACCTAGGCTCAAGCAACCCTCCTGCCTGTCTCCCAAACAGCAGACACATACCCCACTGCATCTGGCTAAGAAAACTGAGTATTTTTTTTTTTGGTAGCGCTAGGGATGAAATCCAGGGCTTTATGCATGCTAACCACATACTCTACCCCCAGCCTTTTCTCTACCTTTTAAGCTGAGTTTATCACCTAGTTTGTGAACAAAACTTGTGAAGTTTTCCTACTACTGCTACTTAATCTTATATAACAGTGCTCTTTATATGTATGAAATGTTTTACAGCTGTAATACGTTCTGACTTGAAAGCCTTTCTGTGAGGCACGCACGCCCCAGTTAATGCCAGTTGCAGTCTTCTTCCTATTGTCATCCCAGGGTTTCCTTTTGATCCCAAGCCTAAAGCAATTCAAGTGGCCAAGTGTCATCCTCTATGCTACTGTCACCTCTGTATACCCAGATCCATGATCGTACTCCCCCCTGAACTACAGATGGCCTTATGGTCTGCAACAAGAGATTCTCTGTCAAGGCTTCTCATACCACGTTAGAAATAATAATTTTCAACTAATTTTCTATATCTGACCTCTCTTTTACTATGAAAGTCTGCACCTGTCCTGACAGCCATAACAATTCCAAAATGAAGATTTACTAGCATACAATTGAGTACATACATCTCCAACAAATACTTACAGAAAATCACCAGCTAAAACATTTCAGACCCCATATCTGGGAAGTGGTAATGTGGAGGTGTAAAAGGAAAGGGAGGGACCAGTCAATTAAGATACAAAGTCCAACAGACAAACGAACTCTGCTCTACATAAAAGTAACAAAGATGACTTATCCAGAGTCATAGTAAATTTCTGTAGGAAAAAAGTATATTTTTGGTGAAGAAAAGGACTACCCTTTTTTAAAGTGTTTTATTAATGTAGATTTGTGTATCTACTTATTTAACACAAATCCTCTCTTGAGAACCAAGTGTTATTGCTCAGTAAACTGTTCATTTACGTAAAAGAAACTCATGATGCTCTTCTATGCTTGTAAACTTTTAAATAAAAGGTCATTTCCTTAATACAAACCCATGAATGTGTTCCTTTCCACCACAGCAGCAGGCTTATCTCCAGAGCTGCATGCAGCACCATGGGTTAAGTAGGCAGATAGGGATGATGGCACAGCATCCTGCCAGATCAAGAAGTTCAGCAGATAGGAGGCTGTTACACAGTCATATGGTTTTGTGCTTGTGCTGAGCTCCAGAGCTGCTTCAAATAAGCCTTGCAGTTTCTCAGCATTCTAGAACAAAAAACAGTCCCAGTAACTGTCACAGCAAGATTTCTGTAATTTGCAAGACTACTACATTTTTAAAAACACAGCCTGCCATATAACTCTAACTCAGCCTGAATATTAATTTCTTTTCTTCTTGAATATAAGTTTGTATGTATGTATGTATTTAAATAGAATTTCAGTATGTTGTCTATACTGGCTATAAACTCGTGATCATCCTATCTCAGCCTCCAAGTAGCTAGGATGTGTCTATAGGTATACACCACCACATCAGCCTTCAGTTTTTACTTCAGTAAGTAATGATTACTATGAATCTTTTATATATATGCTGTAATATACCTTCTCCACTCCAGACACTCTTAAAACATTTGCCAGGAATAAGGTATAGCTATATATGGGATGCAAGGCTATATATATGTGATGAATAGTGGAAGGTGTGGGTGTTGCTAAAAGAGGAAAAGTGTTTCTTTACGAGCACCTGAAGAACTTTCCTCTCACAGGGCACCGAGAAGACTACAGGCACAAGTGGACTCCAGAGAGCAATTCCCACTCTGAGTATAAATCAAAAAAGATACCCTAAGACCTTGCAATGCCATAGAAGCCACAAAAAGACACAGTTTTTTTTATGGCATGTGCTGCTATAGAATCCCACAGGGCCTACAAGCTACCATGCCCTAAATACATAAAAACATCTGGCGCCCAGACTATAGCTCAGCCACACCCCTTGCAGGTACCTTGGGCCTCTAGAGAGCTCTCACAGAAAGCGACAGACAGCTCTGGAACCACTACTCTGCTGCTAACCCCAGAATAAGTCTCAAGGGCAGAGATGAGAGAAGAGCTGGGGGTCCCCTGCAGACTTACTCCATAAAGTGCCTTCATTCCTGAGCCCATCCTTGGATCCTATCCCCAGGTAGGGAGAGCAGAGTGAGAAAAGAACTATTAACCTCATATACTCTTTTTTTGTTTGTTTGTTTGTTTTGAGACAGAGTCTCACTGTGTAGTTCAGACTCCCTTCACTATGTAGCCCAGGCCAGTCTTCAACTCACAGTGATCCTCCTGCCTTAGCCTCCCAAGTGCTGGGATTGTAGGCATGCGCCATGATGCCCAGCTAACCTCATACACTCTTGAGTTTCAGTCTCAGTTTAGCTACTGCTTATTGTAAGACCAGAAACATATTCTCTACCACATTTACACTCAGCTTCCCAGTCTAATGAGCAGGAAGATTACCTGTAAAAACTCAAAATTACTGCAAGTGATGCATTTTGATCGAACATTACATGCCCAAAGGAACTGGGGAGACCATAGTTCATTGAAAACCTACTAATAATATGGTAAACAATAAAACCTATTCCCTCCTACACCTCCCTTTTTATCAAAGCAATAAAAAAGCACAGCTCACTGATTTGAACTTTTCTGGTATTTCTTCCTTTCCCACCACACTGCAACAGTGCAGATACATTACTAACCAAAAGAAACAGTTAAAAGGCCCAAGAAGGCAGATGCAGAGGCCTGGATAATCCCCAGATGCTTTATTTATGTATGCTTAAATAGAAAGTTTTCCTATGTATATTACAGTTACATAGGAAAAGTCCAAATACCTGAAATTGTACAGCTGTTACTGATAACTTCATGAGAAGATCAAATGCTAAAGTTTTTACTTCTTCAAAAGTGCTGGTGAAACATTCTATTAGTGTTTGGAAACGACCAGCATCAATATCATGACTCAGCTGATACACCACTTGGACTCTACCTAAAAGCAACAAAAATAAGATTTAAAAGTGAATTAAGGAAAAGAAAATCAGCCTCCTGTAGTTATATGGCAAATTTACAGAAAATTAGTACAAATTTGTACTTCATAGTTTACACTAAGACTTCATACTTCAACCACATTTCATACTTTATCCACAATAGCAAAAAATTGCTTTTCTATTAATTTATATCTTCAGATGACAAAATTAAGTATGGTATTACAAACTTCTGAAAAGGAAATGAATACTTTTTTTTAATGTAAAGCTATTTCATTCTCTTTCAAAAGATTTTATATATAAGGTTCCTACGGTTTAAAAATAAACAAAAACAAATATATTTAGGAACGTATCTTTAAAGAAAAATATCTTTATAAACGTCTTGACCTAGAATCCAAAGTCCTACCATATCTTAGGAAGAACTGACACAAAATAAGTATAATGACATACCTTGCCATTTTCAATTGATCCAAGCTTGCATTCCACTTGGTCATAATGTACAATACTTTTAATGTGCTGTTGAATACAGTTTCCTAGTATTTTATTGAGAATTTCTAGATCTATATTAGTAAGGGATGTTCTTCTAAGTGTCTCTGTGTGGCTTAAGTATCAGGGTAATGAAACCTTCATAGAATGAGTTAGGTGTTACCTCCTCACCAATGCTGTGAAAGAGTGAGAGGATTGGTATTAATTCTTTAAATGCTTCGTAAAATTCACCAGGGAAGCCACTCATCCTGGAGTTTTCCTCGTTAGGAAGCTGATTACTAATTCAATCTTGTTACAAGTTTGCTGAGAATTCCTATTTCAACTTGAGGTGGTAATTTTCATGTTTCTAGTAACTTGCTCATTTCATGTAGATTACCTAATGTGTTGGCATACAACTATTCATTATAATTGTCTTATAATCCTTTTTATTTCTGCAAGTGTAGAAACGTTTCTACTTTTGATTATAGTTATTTGCATTTCATTTTCCTTTGTCTAGCTTTAATTTTATCACTTTTATGCATCTTTAGAAAAAATTCTAGTTTCGTTGGATCACTGTATTGTTTTTCTATTCTCTATTTTATCTTTGTTCTAATCTGTATTTCCTTCCTTGTGCTAGCTCATCTTTTGTAATTTCGTGAGGGATAAAGTTATTGACTTGACACTTTTATGTTTTAATATAAGAATTTAAAGCACTGCTTTTACTACCTCTCAAAAATTTTGGTAAGTTGTTTTTACTTTAATTAATCTCATTTTCTAACTTCCTTTGTGATTTCTTTTTTAACCCATTCATTTAAGTTATTGACTTGAGACTTTTATGTTTTAATATAAGAATTTAAAGCACTGCTTTTACTACCTCTCAAAAATTTTGGTAACTTGTTTTTACTTTAATTAATCTCATTTTCTAACTTCCTTTGTGATTTCTTTTTTAACCCATTCATTAAGAGCTTTATTCAAATATGAAGCCTCTCTGACACTACTGTATAAAACAACTAGGACTCCTCATCCTCCTAGGCACATAGCTCCCTCTTCTTTTCTTGAAATTTTTTCTTTCATAGAATTTATCTCCACTTGAAGTTCTATGTGCTACCTGTTAAGTACTATCTGTTTTCCTTCACTAAAATGTAAGCCCAAAAAGAGAAAGGACTTTGCTTTGTACGTTATATTATCAATGGCTACGTGACATTAAAAAAGCAACAAATTAATATTTGCTGAACAAACCCTTTAAATAATGGGATTCAATTTTCACCATGAATATTGTGATATTTCATCTTAACATAAGAAAGATACATGAGACTTATTCTTCTTCATCTAGGATATGCTTTAGGAAAAGCAAAGAAAATTCTGACTATTACTAAATCACAGTACTTCTACAAAAGAATATAAAATCCTCACCTTTGTTATTTTGATGAACATGAAGGATAAACTTTCCATCCTGTATTTCAGGCTATTTAGCCTCCTTTAAAAGTAATGGGTATAGCATGGCTGCTACATTTGCACTACCTGCCAGTTGATTAGTATAATTACTATGACATAGTCACAGCTCAATTATGTGTCACTCATTAAGAAGACATCCCGGTTTTTCACTTACAATGTATATGTATTAAAATATATTAAATTCCTCTCCCGATGAAAAAGACCAGTCTAATTAAGCCTAATGGATTTTTCTCTGTACACTTAAGTACAGGTATAAGTCCATTAAAAGTGCACAAGTCTTTTTGCTAAATGAATAATCTGTCATGTTCAGATAAAAACTTAAATTCAGCTGTAATACCACTGAAACACACCCTGGATTCACTGGCTGTGAATCCTATAACAAATCATCAAAAATTTGGTAATTTAAAAGACACACACACACACACACACACACACACACACACACACCTATTCTTTCACAGTTCTGGAAGCCAGAAGTCCAAAATTAAGGTGTTTAGGATATCTAAAGTCTAAAATTACAATTCTTACAGGACCCTCTTCTAACATGCGGTGGCCGCTGGCATTCCACGAACTGGAGCTGTATAACTCTACTGCAGACCTCTCTGTCACCATGCCTCCTCCTCTGTCAAGTCCGCCTCTACTTCTCTCTTACAAGGGTACTTTTGATGACATTTGTGGCCCATGTAGGTAATCAGATTATCCCATCTCAATATCCTTAACTTGATTGTATTTGTAAAGATTCTTTTCCCATAAAAGGTTCCTATTCATAGGTTCTAAGCATTTTGCAGATGTTTTGGGAGGTCATCTTAAAGCCTATCACCCCCACCTAAAAGAGGTGATTGTATTTGTCATTGTGGACTATGAATAGCTCAGTGTGAAGGCCATGAGTTCAATCCCCAGTAGTGAAAAAAAAAGCTTATACATGAACAAGCCAGCATCATGCACCTCCTCCTACGATAGCCTAAGAACACTAGCCAAATTCCTGCCAAAGAAACAAACCCCCAACTGAGACACATTCCTCCAAAATGTTAATGTCATGAAATAAAGTTCCAGATTAAAGGAGGCTAAAAAGAGGCATACATCAAAATGTAAGGTGTGGGCCAGGGATTTAGCTCAGTGGTTCCACCACCTGCCTTGCAAGCACGAGGACTCGAGTTCGATCCCCAGTACCACAAAAAAAAAACAAAACAAAACAATGAACAAAATGTAATGTGTGATCTACGATCCATTCTTGGATTGTGGGAGATGTTTTTTCCTATAATAGAACATTTATTAGGACAAGTGTCAAAATTTGTATATGGATCAGATATTAGATAATAGTGCTATCTCAACACTAAATTTCCTGAATTTAATCTTTGTGTGACAGTTGTAAAATCAATAATACACAGAGGTAAAGCAAATATGGCAAAATACTGACAAGTGATAAATCTATTTAGAAAGTACTTAGCCGTTCACTAAACTATTCTTGAAACTTCTGCTGTTACACTTTATTTTTTTAAAACTAAAAACCTGATAAAAAGGATTTTCCTCAAATGAAGGATGCATGTATTAATAGCAACTAACTCTCCCCCTCCCATCAAAAACTTTTAACTTTAGCTGGGCGTGGTGGTGCACGCCTGTAATCCCAGCACTCGGGAGGCTGAGGCAGGAGGATTGCTGTGAGTCTGAGACCAGCCTGGGTTACATAGTGAGTTCCAAGTCAGTCTCAAGCACATAGTGAGACCCTGTCTCAAAAAAAAAAAAACTTTTACTTTACTAATATAAAGTGAAAAAGAACACAGCTATCCTATAAAGCTTTCTGGTCCTCCAGCCACTCCTGTTAAAGAGTAACTTAGGTGGGTATGTTCTTGCTTGACAACAGTAAAGAAAAAATGGAGCACAAGCAAGAAAACCACACTGTTATATATACATTCATATATGCAGACAAAAAGAATCATTTCTTGCCAAAAGGGGGAAAAAATGATTCAAAGAAGGAAATTAAATGTCTTTCAAGTACCTCACAGAAGGAAAATCAGAATATCACTACGCCAGAATGCCTGGAAATGACATCCTCATGATATCTTTCTGAAACCAGGCTGAGGCTTATGAAACAAACAGTATATAAGGGAAACCACATTTTAACCACAAAGACTCATTGAGGAGTATTAAATATGAGACATATTATTTTAATTGTTAATGCTTAAAGAACAGATTAAGCCCTTTCTTAAAGCAAAGTAAGAAAATAAAGAGCAGGAACTCTTCCTTTAATAAGTATAATCCATGAAAATTGTAGTTCTGAGTTGGCAAAGAATGATCAATGAAAAGAGATCGTTTCTCTTCCTTATGTCCTTTAATTGGCAAATTTAATTATGTACAATAAGGACAATATGCTAAGAAGAAATCTAAAGAAAAGACAATAAAAATGAAACTTCAAATAAAGCAAACTACAGAACAAGTACATGCTTTGCAAGAAAAGAAAGAATGCTTCTTCCAAACATTACTGGAAACTTACCTTCTAATACAGGAAAAACTTCAGCTATTGAGCCTAAAATGGTTAAAGCCGAAAATCTAGTTGAGTAGGAAGATCCAGGAAACAGTGCTTCAAAAAGACTGTTGCAAATGGATGACATGAAATTCTAAAAAAAAATTCACAGCAGGGATCACTGAGTTAACAACTCACAACAGGTTCTCTCCAGAGCATCACTCCCAAGAGTGGGTGTTTCTGTTCGTTTTAAGTTGAGAGAAAGATTTTTTCAAATAATACTGGTTATTCCACGTGATAATTCATCTTGCCACTGTTATAGTTTGGATACAGTTTCAGTCACAACAGTTCACGTGCTTCAAGCTAGACACGCAGTGTGGCAGGGTTAGATGGTAGGACCTTTGAAGACACAGGGCCTAGTGGAAGGTGACAAGGTCAGGGGGCTCCACCCTTGTGAGCAAATTGATGTTGTCTTCTGGGAGTCAGGTCTTGTGGGACTAGCAAGTTCATAATGAGTTGCTACAATGCAAGTTCCACTTTCTAGAATGCTCACTTGCTTTTACATCAACACATGCTTCTTCCACCTACATCCATTTTTCTATCAAGTTGTAACACAACCAGGGGGTCCCTGCCAAGATGTCTGTACCATGCTGTTGAGACTTTACAGCCATTCACCTCTTTTCTCCACAAAACTGTTTTCTTTCTGAAATGTCCAGCCTCAGGTTTTTTGCTATAGTAATGCAAAAAGACCCTTGACCATAAACAATATGTCACAACTTTAATGAACCATATCTTTGTGGAGTTAGCAAGAAATATAATTCGTATTATATCTTAAGACAAGGGAAAAAACACATTTTGTATGAAAATAAGATAAGTCTGTACCTGAATTGTAGGAGAGCTGGAGGATGCTGGTTTTCCTAACCAAAGACATTTAGGCATCAAAAGTACGAATACTTTTTAATGTTTTAAAATGAACAAAGAGCCAGGCATGGGGACACATGTCTGTTATCCCACCACTCAGGAGGCTGAGGCAGGAGGACTGCCATTAGTTTAAGGCCAGCCTGGACTACACAGTGAGTTCAAGGCCAGCCTGAACCACATAGCGAGAATCTGTCATAATGTAACATAACGCAACCAAAGAAATATTTAATATAGACTACTTGATAAGTTTGACTATGACATATTCATAAAAAGATCCAACTATTCTTTTGTCTTCTACATGCCCCTCTAAGACCTCTGCTCTAGCATTCTGCTCTATCATTTTCAAATGAAAATGAAAATCTTCAGTAAGATTCAATTATAAAAAAACAAAGTGGGAAATACTTTCTCCAGGATAGTCTTCTTCCTCTAATTTAAAAAAAAGATTAATTTCTGTATAAGATAAACAGAAAAATCATAAAGAACAGCTGTGATTCTCAAAGATCCTGTTACTGTTCTGCCTTGAGCAGCACTCAGGCAGTCCTAATCCCAAGTGACACTACACAGTCAAGAATAAAGACCAAACAGGGAAGGGTGAAAGGGGTAAAGTGAGGGAAGGGGAATGGGGAATGGGAAAAAAATAAGAACCAACATACATCATGTAAAGGTACAAGATCCCAGTGATGAATGTAACTGTTCTGTGTACCTTAAATGTACCAATAAACTTAATGGAAAAAATTAAAAATTAAAAAAAATAAATGAATAATGACAATACCTACCCTAATGGATTGTTATGAAAATTAAAACAGGTATAATGCTTGGCATATATGCTAAACACTTAATAAAGTTTAGGTGTTACTGCTATTAAAAAAAAAAGAATACAATACCAGCTGGGCACAGTAGCACCTGCCTACAATCCTAGCACTTAGAAGGCTGAGGCAGGTAGATGCCATGAATTCAAGGCCAGCTTGGGCTCCATAGTGAATTCAGGCCAGGCTGCACTACAAAGTAAGACCCTGTCTCAAACAAACAAACAAACTATGCAAGATAGCTGCATTCAGTTTGCTGCTGGGCATGTAACCTTGGGTGTTTATCCTTTATCCTAAATTTATTCATTCTATTGGGTTTCAAAGGAACAGGGTGCTTACCAAAACCTGTCCTAAACTAGTCTTAAGTAAAACAGCATTCACATTAAACCACAAGAAACTTATCCTTTAGGAATGATCTTAACTGCATCATCATTTATATTTTGAGACATAGTTCTTCATTCTGTAAATCAGACTGTACCCATAACAAAGATCACATTGATACATTAGGTTCCTGACTGCTAAGAACAGTAACCCTTACAAATCACCAGGAGTTCAACATATGCCCTAGTCACTTCTAATGCTTCCCAATGTGGTTTTCTTAAAACAACTACTGAGATTTTAGAGTGAAGAGCCCACCTGGATTTGGATCCTGGCTCCACCACTGTCAAGCTGAGGTAACCCCAACAGGTTAGTGAATTTTACTATTTCAGTGTTCACACTTGTTAAGTGGAGAAAATAATGCTTATCCCACAGCATTTTTATAATGATGAAATGAGAATACGGATATAAAGCACTTCATAAATCTGAAACTACTCTAATTACTAATACAGTATCAGTTAGGAATGAAGACATCTTTGTCAACTAAAAGTCTCTTTTTCTTCTGCAGCACTTAGTCTGCTGGTTGGCACTGGGCCTGCCACACAGAGTGCACAGCACTCACTATCATGAGGATGATGACAGCACAGTGCCAAGGTCAACCTCCAAAAGCAACAGTGACCACCAGGTGGGAGAAAAGATCATAACTACAAGATTGACTCAGATTAGGGGCCTGGGATTTAGCTCAGTGGTTCGACTACCTGCCACCCAAGTGCAAGGTTCTGAATTCAATCCCTGGTACCAAAAAAAGATTGACTCAGTTTAAGTCTCAGAGGACTCCTGTTTGAAAAACGCACATTCACAAGCATTAAAAAAACACTAAAAAATGCATCCATTAAAATTTAGAACCTCAATCCATGAAATAGTCTATGTTTCTATGTACTTAAGATCACAAACATCACTGTACCTCCTTTGCAAAAAATAAATAAATAAATAAAACATGTTTTTAAAAATCTAGCACTGATCTAACAAAGAACTGTCACAACAACACAGCAGCACGGGCTTTAAATATACAATCTAAGTCACTTTTAATGGCTCCCAGTGAGGCTTTCTAGAATGACTTATCATTTACAAGGAGATTTCTCAGTTCATCCTCAAAACCAACATTTGAGAGGAGTTACTACTCCCATGTAAAGGAGACTAAGTTAACCAACCAGCAAGTGGCAGAATTGGGAATAATCCTGTCCTTAAAGTCCAGTCAGTGTCTTTCTAATCTTCACTGTTGGGATTTTAAGATGATGAAGCTGACAGCAACCTTTGTAATAACAGTCTTCATCAAAAAGTGTTTTTTGCCTTTTTAATTGGAGATAATGATGCATGCCTACAATCTCAGCGCATTGGGAGGCTGAAGACAATATGCATTTTAAATTTGAGTCCAGAAGAGGCTAGGGATGTAGGTTGGTGTGAAGGTCTTGAGTTCAACTGCCAATACTATCCCCCCAAAAAATGTTTTTACCTTTTAAATTAAAAAACTGAAAATTAAGACCTTCCATATCAATGTTCAGAGTAGATATAAATATGTCATAGTTCAAATGTCTCATTAATTTATTATGTTTTCCTAAATAAACTAAAACAGATGAGCTCTGTTTCCTACCTGGGTCTCAGAAGAAAATAAGGTTCTACTTCTGAGAGGCTAGATTTGGAATAAGAAACCAGTTCTTCTGAAAAAAAACTGAAAATTGTCAAGCTGTGCCCACCAGATGGGAGCCACTATACTTGGGGAACCATCCACTCCATTAACAGTGCCTTGGAGCCCAGCCCACCTCTTCACGGGCACACAAAATGGACAGATACAACCCCCCCACTACAGCTGAACTGCAGACTAGGGGTCCCTAACATCGAGCCATTGTTGGGGGAAGTAGGCTCAGCCACAGCAGTCTTTCACTCTGGAGCAGTAGATGAGCCCAGAGGCAGCCATGACCTACCTGTTTGTTAAAGCACTAAACACATGTGGTCCACACAAGCTTTAAATTGTGGAGGTGGGCCCATTAATGTCATTTTGTAACAGTCAGTCCTCAGGAGTGGAGTACCAAATCACCAGGAGGTTTACGTAACACCTAACTTGAAGTAAAACAGCACAGAAACATGGTTCACCAAGAGACTTCCATTTACTTCCCTCTAATGCATATTCATATTTATATGCATTCATATTCATAATTGTTTTAGGCTTCATAAAGCTCTGTATGTGTAGAATCTATCACCTACCTTGTATTTCTGTAAAGAAACAGAAGGCTGCTCTTTGGTTAGCTCATTCTCTGGTTCATGCTTGGATTTACCTTGCTCCAATTTATAAAGTACCTGAGAACTTTCTTGTATCCTACAAAACAACTTTTACGACAAAAACAAAACACAAAACATAGGTAAGCCATGCATTAAACTGAGCTGCCACTACGAAAGGAAAATTTTAAGGTAAGGATAGTACTGTCTCTCAAACCCTTAAAAATGACTATGTTAATTTTCTGAGAGAAAACTGACATTTATATTTTTAAAGCCAACAAGTATCATGCAACTAGAATATGGTCATTAAACCACAGTTCTCCCATTTCCTTTAAATTAGCCTCAACCTAAAGATGATATACTCATTTCTGTAACAATTATTCACCTCTGAAATGTTTTGTGACTAATTCAAGTTGAATTATTCAAAAGTGACCATTTTACAAGGTGCTTAAAGAAAACCTATAAAAATCCAAGAGCATCCTTCCTCCTACTGTCAGTTTTCTTAAAACCAATGTACACCCCCAGTGCTAGACTATTTTACTGAAAGAAAGAAAGCAGGCAGGCAGACAGGCAGGCAGGCAAGCTAGCTCAAAGTTAACTTGCTAAACCAAAATGAGAAGACTTCACTCTGGAATGCAAGCTTCACTCTCAAATGCAAGCTTTACAAAATCATAGAGCAGGTCACAGATAGGCCACAAAGAAATGTAATTATTCAATTTATGACCATTCCCACCCTCTCCCAAAACCTGAGCTCTTTTTCAAAATCATTTCCAAAACAAAGTTCACCATTTTCCAAAACTTTCTGATGCCAAATTCTACCTTTTTGAGAAGAGAACAGATCTGCTGCCGTACTCCTGGAGACTGGCTATTAAGATTGTACATGATGAAGAACTGAATCCACTCCATTTCTTCTGCAGAAACAATTTCTGTGCTTCGACTGCTTTCACAAAGCAAGCCTAATGTATCTATCCGTACCTGATCAAATACATCAAGCAATAAAATGTTCACTTGCCAATTAAATAAGTAAAGCCTTAGCCAACTGAAATGTCTATTTACATAGGCTACCAAAGGGAAAAAAGTAAACTTTAGTTTACCCATGTGCACTTGAGAAAGGTTTCTTAATCCCAAAGGTCTGGTAGTTATTTCTAGTGAAGTTATTTTACTAAATGTATAAACCAAGGCTTTACAAAAGTAAACAATCTGAGCTCATAGTCCATGGAATGCTCAGTCAGGTTCATTTCTTTCCCTCTTTTTCCTCAGTGACACGTTACTCCAGGCCCCCTCATCTCATTGTCACATGACTGCCATGCACTTCTAACTGGTTGCCTGGTTTGTTTTTGCTCCTACTTTGTAAATTCATCACTGTTGCCATTAATGTGACTTTCTTGCCAAAGAGTGGCTCTGGTTGAATGGTTTCTTTCAACTGATGACTGGGAATGAAAAGTCATCAGCCTAGCACTGGAGCAGTGTGTAAAATATATCAAACACTTCTCTCCTGCCAGAAAATGGCCTTAATCATTGTCCAGACCATGTATGTCTGTCCTCCTCCAACACTCCATGTTCCCAATCAACCACTACCCACTCTGATCAGCTGCTTCTGGGCCTCCCAGGGAAGTCCTTGTGTGTAACAGCACTTTGCCATCTGTGCTTTCTTGTGAGTTCTCAGGTGCTTTATGCAAGTTTGCTCATCCCCTCAAGACATATTAAGAAGCCTGAACATAAGAAAGATACTTTTCACTTCCTATGCGACTTCATTAAGGACTTATCCCAAAACAGCTAGGCACAAGTGGGAGCCTATATATTGAATCATTAAATGAATGAACAAATTAGGGACCTGCTGCAATGTACAAATACCCAGCTATTTCCTTACTTGGCAGTGCTGATGAATTAATCCTTGCTTTATTCTTGCACTAGACACAAGATTCTCCCAGGCATCGGTTGCAGACTGAAGATGTCCATGAGTTCTGGCTGTTCGCAGACAAGCCATCAAAGCTCCCAGAGCCCCTCTGCTATGACAGGACCCTAAGGATGGAGAAGACTGCTCTTGCCTCAAAAGCACAGTAACAAAGACCATGACTGTGCTATGCAACTATTACAATTCTCAGTGCCCATAAACATTAGTGTTCCAATGAAGATATTTTAAGAAAAACGCTCTAAACTTTATCTAACACAAATTAAAATTCCCATTCTAAAGTAGCTAGTATTTAAAATTAATTGTTTTTGTGTCAATAATTTTAAGTAAACATAATTCCCATATTGTTAACATAAAGAAATCATAACTTATTTGCTAATATTTTGTACTTTTTCCCTAAAATTCAGAAAGTGAACCAGGAAGTACAGTAAGTCAGAGGAAAAAAATCATGTGAATTATTAAAAATAACAACACAAAAATTAAAATGACTCTCTGGCAAGAAAAAGAAAAACACTTTAGTGACTAAAGACTATTATTTCTCTAAAAATAAACACTGACCTTTCTACATTTTGGAACTACTATTCTCACTAGTAACTAAAATGAAGTAGGATCACGAAGAACTGCTGGTTTCAGGAAAAGGACTATCAGCCATTTATAAAGAGGCAGAAAGCTGTGGCTCACAGGGCACCTTGAGGTAAAAAGACAATCTTCCTTTGGAAAGAAACCTCAATTTTAGATGATTTCTCAAAAAGCCAAAAACAATTATTTAAAATTACAAATAATGGAAACTGAACACAGTGGCCCATACCTATAATCTCAGTTACTCATATGGCTGAGGCAGGAAGGATCACTTGGGCCCAGGAGTTTAAGCCCAGCCTGAGCAACATAGCAAGACTCCACCGCAAAGAAAAAAAAAAGGGAAAAATTTTTTTTTTTTTTTTTTTGTAGAGAGAATAGGTCTTCCTATCACACCTTATGGTTATTCTTGTATGTACTAAAGATTTTTAGTCATTTAAGTTGAAAATATTTCTTAAATTGTATTAAAGGATACCATATCCTTGCATTGCTAAACAGAATATAATTCAAAGATTCATGATGAGTTAGAATGATCATTTTCCACTGAGTTATGCGTTATGAAGGATTCCTTCAGAATTACTGAGTTTCAATAGAATTTTTTTTGTTTTGTTTTGCTTGTTTTGTTTTGTTTTTTCATACCAGGAGATTGAATTTAGGACCTTGCACTTTGAAGGCAGGCACTGAAATCAAGAAAATGTTTATCCCTATTCTAAATGACTATAGATAACTGTTTCTTTACATTTTTATCTCTTTCTCAGAGATAAAAAATGTCCTGGTCTTTAAATGTGACTAAAATAATTTTTTAACTTCTGCCTCAATCACTTGAACAAGCAAATTATACAAAGCACACATACTTTTACCCCAGTCTGACAATAAAATAAATTAAGAACTGGTAAAATGAATTAAAACCCTGGAATAAAGAAAGTCTTATCTTATTTGCTTAAGTGGAATCACTCCTTGAATTGCAAAAACGACTTCAGACAAAAAAAATTCCATTCGGCTATGTACAGGAACATTTGTTTCAACGTGAAATAGCTATCATTAGTATCTTCCTTTACCATTTATAGAAGTGGTAATATTTAAATTTGAATGATTCATAGCTGTCTAGGTCCCTACATTTAAGCATCATATCCAGAAATTATTAAAATAAAAATTAATTTTTCTTACCATTTTTAGCATTAATGGAAGTCTGAAGAATCTTTACCATGTACCTTAAGCTTTCAGGGCTGTAATTCAGTAATTTTGGCAAGTAATAGTCAATCACATACGATTTTTGATCCAAGTTTCCTTCACACAGTATATAAAGGAGAGGTGAAACCCACGTCTCATGCCACTGGTCAATCCAAGTGATGTCAACAATCTGGGATTGCAAATGATTCTTATGATTTTTAAACATGGTTTCCAAGAGGTCACTTGCATAGGGTACTAACGACTGCTCCCCCATCACCTTCAAGATTTGAGATGGAACAGTATTATCTATTGCCAAAATATGTTCAATTCCTATGCATTCTACCAAACAGCCAAGGCATGTGTATTTTCCTTTAATATGCCATTCCAATAGCAGAAGACTCTTAGTCAATCCCAAAAAGAAAGGATCAGTGACCAAATCTGCCCCTTTCATAGTGAGCTGGTGCATCTGGAGAAGATTTTTGAATATGATTTTGGTCTGGTGTCTGAGAGCATCCAAGGGATGTTCCCAGTGGGTATAGACATATTCCAAAAGTCTCCCAACTATGCTTGAATTCCCATTCAGACTGTCCTTCAGGCTTGGAGAACTTGATTCAAGGATACGTATCGCTGAATTTGTCCACAATGAAAGGATTCTAGACAGAAACATTTCCAGTGTTGATTCCTTAATCCTAAAAAAAAAAAAAAAAAATGAACCAGGAGCCTTATTTTTGTAAACTGACTACTAAAAGAAATTTCTTTTTTTGTACCAGAAATTGAACTCAGGTCCTTGTGCTTACAAGGCAGGCAGTGGAACCACTGAGTTAAATCCCAGCCCTAAAAGAAATTTCATTTTATGATCAGACATTAGAAACATGAAATGCAAAGTATGAACAGAATATGCAATTATTACTAAATTTACAACAAAAATTACAAACAAAACCAAAATAGACCTCAAATTTGTATATGAATCTTTTAACTTTGTAAAAAATAATACAAATTTGGGGTGGGGGGAATGAATGAAATAGTGACCATCTTCATTGGGACAATGGTTGTTTCACAAGTGTGTCTAAACATATTGAGGTGCAAGGATTGTGGAAGATACAGGAAACTTTTTTTTTTTTTTTAGAATGATGAAAATATCCACAAAGTTGATTATGACAACAGTTAAGGAATTCTGTGAACATATTAAAAATACAAAAACCTGAACTGCACATTTTAAACATATGAAATGGACAGTATACAAAATATAGCTGCAACATGTAAAAAGTTATTTTAGAACATGGTAGGTTCTCTTACTATAATTATAGTCCTCATTATTAGCAAACTAAATATGGTTTGACATGATCACTTTCAGCCACAATGGCAAAAACACCAAAGAAACACTAAACACAGCCTTGTGAAGCCAGAAGACCTTCTCATAACTGTAGGCTCGGGTTTTTATTAGAAATATACTCATAGGTAAGCATTTACTTTTCTAAGCTTCATTTTACCCATTCCATCAAATAGATTTTTTTATTCATCTACCAGACATGTCAAGACCATATGCTATGTTGAAGTTCTTCATAAATTCTAAAGGACTATATAAAAATTTTTGAGATAAGGCCTCATTATACAGCCCAGGCTAGTCTCAAACTGGCAGAAATCCTTCTCCTGCCTCAGCCTCCTGAGTACTGGAATTATAGGTATGTGCCATCACACCTGGCTGTCAATACAGAAATTTTTCATTTTGTTTGCTTGTTAGTGTTTGGTGCTAGGGACTGAACGTAGGGCCATGTACTTGACCACTGAACTACATACCTCACTCCAGGTTTTTATAGCTTGAAAAATATCTAGCATACAGACTGATAGTTAAAAAGTTCATTCCAGGTTAACCTGAACCAGTAACTAACTCTCTCTCTCTCTCTCCCTCTCTCTCTCTCTCTCTCTTTCTTCCTTCATTCTACATTCTCTTTCATGCTTCTTTCATTCCCTACACATACATAACTTTTAATTAAGATTTATCCTAATCACTTTTCATTGAATTACTAAGTATTTTGGCTCAGCTGCATCTTTAAAATGTTTTCCAAGCAAAACAAAAGACAGCAAAATCACAACTCACTGTGAACTCAAGGTGAACAAAACATGCACAGTATCCAAGAGCAGGGCCTCCCCACCCGGGCCCATGCCACCATTCTGCCAGTCCAACATCGCAAGTGTCCCCTGACACAGGAATAAGAGAGCTGACCCAGGGATGTCAGCACAACAAAGGCTCCTGCAGCTGCTCATTAACCACTCGGGGACCTTGGTATGGTCCACTGAACGGAGAAGTAAACTGCTAATCTGGAACATAATGGATATAAAGTCTTTAAAACTTCAAGAGATATTTCAAAATATAAACCCAAAAATCCCTTTCCCCTGAAATAGTCTAGGAAAAATAATGGTAAAGTAGCCACAACCACTACATTGTTATATTAATATTAAAAGGAAAATAATTAAGTCCAAGTATATAAACTTTTTGCTGATTTGAAAGTACTGGTGGTAGAGCATGATGTATCACTCACTACCTGTAGGTGGATGAGCTTACAGCTTTTAGAGGCGATCTGAGAAAAATTTTCGGTTTTATCCAATTACTTTGTATGAGCTCATAGAATAGTGCACATATTTTGTACAGTATTACAACAGTAAAAGGATGTTTCCAGATAATATAAGTAACCAAGTAGAAAAAAATTTTCTAGTAGTAAATACAAACATGAACTAAACTGTCACATTATATTTTCTATATGACTCAAATTCACTGAAAACCAAAAGCCAGCAGTGTTTCCATTACTAAAGTATAAGACTTGGCTGATTATTACTAAAAAGAATATACTTATCAGAAAGTTATTATCATGTATATAGCTATACATTAATCTCTGCATAATTTTAGAATTACAAGTATCTTTTATGATACTGATAAATGGAACAACACTACAAAAAACTAGAAAGATACGCACCCAAGATGTTGACAGTAATTTATCTTTATAAAACTTTCAAGGGATTATTATTGATTTTTTCTTTATAAGAGAAAATCATCAAAAGTTAGACTGTGCAAAAAAATAATGTTTTAACTCACTTTAAAAATATTTTTTATCTAGGGTTCAATCAGCAACACAGAAAAAACAAAATTTTTAAACACACATCTAATTCTCAATAAAGTATAATTCTAAAAAAGACATATACTTACCAACTCAGGAATATTTTCAGATGGCTGAAACATAGTCTTAATAAAAAGAATAACAGCTAATCCAGATGTACTCTGAATTGTCTGTAATAGGTCACCTATTCGGTAAAAAAGGGGAGAGTATGTGTTAAAGCATAGATGCTCCCATACAGTGGAAAAAGTAAACGCTCTGGGGAGACAGTCCTGTGTACAGTTTCCAGCTTGACCCCTTCCTAGCTGAGTAGGTCTGAGACATGTTAGTTATTAACCTCCCAGAAACTCAAAAATGAGAAAATATAACTCCTATCTAACAAATTGTAAGACTTAAAAGAACAATGAACATGAAGGCATTTAAGCCCAGCATACAGATATTTCATAAATGTGATCCTTCCTCTCTCTTCCTTCATCCACTCTCTTCCTCTCCATCAACAGACTCTCAATACACCTAATGGCAATACCACCTGTTCCCTCCCCTCCACTGATGCCTCTGTATCCCAACTCACACACATATACTTTTTCTTAGAGTTTTCATGATATATGTAAAGCACCTATATCAGTGTTAATTACAAACTGCTATCACTACTGGCACTGTACTCAAAGCAAACGATTTTGACTATATGGCTTCTTTTTTGTCTGTCTCTATTAGCCTCTGATAATATGGTGATTTATTCAAGCTGGACTAAGAAGTATGACAGCCCCATGAATTATCTACTAAATATCCATTCTGCACTTCATCCCTGATAACAAAATTGACTACTAGGCAGTGGTCATGTGCCAAAAACAAGACACCTGCTTCCTCAATCTCCTTTGCAATTAAAGGCAGTGTTGTGATAGGGCTCAGGCCAGCCAATGTACCTTTATCTTTCCCAATTAAAATAAAGAACAGAGACATGATGTTTTGAGCTACATATAGCAAATATGAGGCAACAAACACACAGGTAAAAGCCAAATATTCTAAAGATACCAGAACAGAAAGGCAGAAAATGTTGGATACTGTACTGTCTACAGCAATTCTGGATCACCTGCTGCAGAACTTCTACTTATATGAGAAGGGGAGGCAAATTTGCTTTAGTCTCTAAAGTTTGGTTTTCTGTTACTTACAATAAACATTTTTTTGATACATGAAGCATTAAAATCCTGGAGAAAAACACTGAATTTCATCAACGTTTCAGAAAAGCAGCCACCTCCTTACAAAATCACAAATTCTGTCTTTTACAAAAGTGTTCAGGATTTTGTTTTTTTTAGATTAACAAATCCTATTTTAACAAAATCAGCTGGGGATTTAGCTCAGTGGTTCCACTGCCTGCCTCGCAAGCACAAGGACCGGAGTTCGATCCCCAGTACAAAAAAAAAAAAAAAAATCAAACATCCAATCCAGGCATGGTGGCACATGTCAATAATCTTAGCACTCAAGGAGACTGAGACAGGAGGATTCCAAGTTTCATCCCAGCCTAGGCAACTGAGCCAGATGGGGGAGGGGGGGCAGTGTGAAAGCCCAGATTCAATCCCAAGTATCAAGAAAAAAAAAATCAAATGCCCTCTGAAAAGCAGTATATAAATTATGTCTAAAAAATAGCTTTTATTAATTTACTTTCCTTTTAGTACTATCAGAGATCCTAGGCAAAAAGAAAAATGGAAATATTAACTGGATAATAATATACTAGGATTTTCACTAGTTACTATGGTTAAAAACATAAACAAGATAACTATTTTATCCCAATCAGTTTAGTGAAACCAGAACCAATTAGTTGTTACAAAAACAAACAAACAAACAAAAACCTCTAAATAGAGCCAGTAACAGTTTGTTAAAATTATATTAAATTCTGGCCGGGCATGGTGGCGCATGCCTATAATCCCTGCACTTGGGAGGCTGAAGCAGGAGGATCACCGTGAGTTCCAAGGCCAGCCTGGACTACTCAGTGAGATCCTGTCTCAAAAAATTAATTTAATAAATAAATTAATTAATTGAAATTATACTAAAATGTTATACATACATTACCATTGGAGGTAAAGAGAAAGGATAATTCAACTTTTTACGGAGGTTCTTATGTCTTAGGTATCCTGTGTTAACACTATTATAATATAAAAAAGATACAAAAGAATGACCCAAAATCTACAGCTTAATAAATTATACAAGAGGATGACTCCTGGACTCACCATCCATGAAAGAGAACTTGGCCACCCAGCCCTGAAGGTTAATTCATGTGCCACATCCCAGTCACAAACCCTCGTTTTTAAAATTTTATTTTTTTTCCCAACCCCCTTTCTTATTCTGGGTTCATCCTGAATTATTCATCCTGACTTCTAAAGTAATGACTTACTGACTTTCTTATAGTTTTTTTAATAGTTTTATCAACTAAAGTGCATTTCTACATGTGACAGTTGTTTTGATTGTTTAAATATCTTTCAGGTGACATTCATCTACAGGTGGGCCCCTTCGTCTCTGCACTGCAGCCTCTTTGTTAAAGAACTCTGGCCATATGACCTATAATTCAAAACAGTATTCCTCTGTCTTCTGTAATTTAGCAAACTGAAAGATAACCCAGAGACAGGATCCTTCTCAAATCTAATCCCTTTGGGAAGATGACAGATAGTTGCTACAATACTCAAACCGGCACATATTATCTCGTTTTTCCTGTAAGTTAGCAACTACTGATGCTTAATGCTGCCTACATCAAATCACAGATGGTTACAAAATGGTGATGCATCATTTCATTTTAATTAATTAATTAGAGACACTTTCCTTCATCTATTTGGTTTCTGAGTGGTACAGTTCATATGGACAAAAGCTACGTATGAGATATAAAGAAATAATACTGACCAGGCTCAAAATCAACTATTGTCATTATTTGAAGCTAACGTGTTGCTAAGGAAAAGAGTAATGAGCTACACTAATCTTTCTAGACCTTCCCTCTAAATTTGGAGATTTCTTCTAAAGAATTTTATTTTGCAACTTCAAGTCTGTGGCTTTCAGCACTAAGAATCTGTGGGTTTTCTGTGAACATACCACACAATACACACACAAACTTAGAAAAGTCCTTCAACATTATCCCTTGCTAACTTAGTACATTTCAAAGAATAAAAGCATTAAAACCATGTAATCCATAGCCTTTCTCCACTTTTTTAGAGGCTGAGAGAGAGGAAATCCTACAACTCAGTTAAATATACTTTGTACCTTTACTCGGAAAAGCTGATTAATACTCAACATAACCACCATACACTTACCGTCACTTAAAAACTTGGTGAAAATACCCAGCAAGCCACACATACTTCCCCATATGGGAGAACTGGAAGCTTTCCACAGATTTTCCTGGAAATCTTGCACTTTCTGTACTAATGTCATTGAAACTCTAATGCCTACCAACAAGTCATTCATCAACTGTGTTTGAACAATATGATTTCCGGCAAATTTTCTACAAAGAAGAAAAGACATTATTACAAAAGAAAATTCAAATCAAAGTTTTCATATCCCCAAGCCAGTATATAATTGGTTTTCCTTTAGAGGATATAAAACAACACAAGTGTCTGGAAGGAAAACGATACACATGGATAAGACAGTAATGCAATAATGCAAACAGGAGAAACAGGTAAACATACACACAGTAGATGCCCAAAACCAAGACTTAAGCTTCTTGCCCTCAGCAATGAGAATATGAAGACAATAGTTTGGATGATTCTACCATGACAAATCCATCATCTAAGCAGAGAAGTAAAGATAATGACACAAAGGGTTCCCCTAAGAAACAGACCAGCTAGCCTAGAATTTCCCCAAAAGGCATGTTCAAAGCTGGGAGCCTTTGGAGGGTACTTGGATCACAGGGACCTGATACTCATCCATAGACTGATCCACTGATGAGTGCATAAGTAAATGTGCTGTCAGGAGGTGGGGCCTGGTTGGAAGTGGCATGACACTGGGGAACATGCCTCTGCAAAGTGATCCTCCCTTCACTCTCTGCTTCCTGGCTGCCAGGGCTTGAAGAGCTTTCCTCCATGAAGCCTTTTTACCATTCTGTTTCTGCCTTGGAGCCAGCTGAACATAAACTGAATCTCTGAAACCAAGAGTCAAATGGAACCTCTCCTCTTTTAAACTGTGGGTGTCAGGCATCATATTCAGTGTCAGGAAAGCTAATACACCCTCCCATATGCATATGTACTCAAATCTATTCTCCATGCCATAGTCTTAAATATGAATACCCATCCAAAGACCACTACACTTCTGGGGAAAATTTCTAGCAGGAAATGTAGTGACCAAACCCAGCATATGGGAAAAAAAGCAACTTATAAGAAACAGAAACAATGTAAAGATAAGAACACTTTAAATGAATAAACTAGACTCAATTATCATTAATATTTTCAGGGAGACAGTAGGGGGAAACTGCACCCATGAAAGAAGGAACACTCAAAGTGGGGGAAGACCTCTTCCTTCCTCACTAATTCTCACCAGAATTTACTTGACCTATCAAAATTAAATAGCAAATAGCTATAATACTAATATTAATTTAAAAGAGTTGAAACTGCACAGAAAACAGTACAATCTGAGACCTTTTTAGGAATTTGCTTTGTACAGAGCACTTAGTGTATGCACTTACACACAAGCAGCATGCAAACATACAGCACTTGCCTATTTTCTTCCAAGATTTCAGTTAAACTCTTCTGCAGAAAATCAAGCACTGAAAGAAAAAGAATACAGTAAGTCAGAACTTAAAACTGTGAGCTCTATTGTAAATCAGTTACCTAATTGATCGCCATAACACACAACTGAAATTATAAGAAGGAGCATGATATACGTTACCTACCTATGGTACAATACTTACTGCCCAACAAATTAAAAGAGCCAAGTCCAAAAGAACTCACACAAGCACTCACTCCTCAGAATGAAATAAAATAATAGGGCTTACCATTTTTAAGCAGATTATTAACACTTGCTCTACCTATAATGGAAAAATAAATACTGGTAAGGAGGTTCACCAAAATAAACAGCACTTAACAATAATGATGTAATGACAGGTGTTAAGTCAGAAAACATACTAGAAACGTGTTAGCTTACCCAAGTTAAAATTCTCCATACAGGAAGATATATTGTCAACAACTTTCCTATAAGAGTACAGATCAGTAGTATTCAATTCTTCTTCAAGATGAGAAGTGAAACTGTGTATAGCCTCAGTTTGAAAAAATTCAGGTAAGCCATTCAGTGAACTAGAAAAAGAATGAAATATTAAAAACCTAAAAACTCTGAACCACCAGGACATGTGAGGAAGAAGCACCATACAAATTTATGAATACTGAATTAAATCTTCAAAATTACAACTTCACACCACCATCATGAGAACTCCTGGTCTGTCATTTTTCATCTGGTTCAACCTTGCTTCCCTCTTAGTCCCCAGAGTGATAATACTAAAAACAGCATGTCACCATCATCCCTCAGTGTCCAAGGGAGACTGGTTCCAGAAACCCCAGATGCCAAAGACAATTGTCTCCTTTTACACCCTGTGCACATCCTCCTGTACCCTTTAGATCATCCCTAGAGTACTTATCTCCTATACCATAAATGCGATGTAAGCACTGTACTGTTTAGGGAATAATAACAAGAAAAACAAGTCTGTACATAATCAGTTTAGATATAATTTTTCAAATAATCTTGATCCAGGCTGGATAAATGCAGAACCCATGGATATGGAGGGCCAATCATCTGCCTAAAAGCCACCAACAACTTCAACATAAGTACATACCAACAAATACAGTTTACAAAGACTTAAAGACCCAGCACAATCTGTCCCCTCATTAGTTCTGACCTTGTTCACTTAACTCTAACTATATGGCCTTTCTGTGTCCTACAACATGCCACTTGGAACACTTCCCTCAAATATCCAATCATCATTGCCTCAAACCTTCTGAGTCAATCTCAAACATCCCCTTATTTCATCTGAGTGAAGTGTATATGAAGGGAACACCGTTATTTCACACTAACACCCCCACACATACACTCTTGGTGCTCTCTTTCTGCAATCTGATCTTTTTCTCCATAGCTCTCATACCAGCTAATATCCTGTAAATGTTGTCTATTTCCTGTCTTCCCCTTGGAATGTAACCCCACTCTACACAATTTTATTCATTGTATCCCCAGTTCCTACAAGAGTAATTAAAACACAGGGACAGCCAAAAAAAGTTTAGTAAATGGATAAATTACTTACATAAATTTTACTTCAATTAAACAAAAATTAATAGTCCTTTAAAATATTTTAACAGTTTCAAGCTTTTCGGAAAAAATATTTCAAAAACTAGAATATTTTGAAAAAGTTCGTAGAGAGATAATTTATTCCGTTAAATAATTAAACCATATTATCAAATGATAGTGTGGTGTTAGTATATCAGCAAGCCTAAAATAATAAATTTCATGTTTACATAGGAACAAATAACCTGGGTGACATTTAAATATGTGGGGAAAGATGGACTATCAACGCTTTGGGGTTAAATGACTCCCATATCTGTAACACACTACACTCAAAACTTAATTCCAGGTGGATTTACAAGTTCAACAACAACAAAATTATAAGACACACAAATAGTTTTACATAATCTTGCATTAAAGAAAGCATACCAAAGCAAGGCATAAAATTGAGAAATCTATATAAAGAAAAGTATCAGTAGAATTGATAGCAAAAAAGTTCTATTTTTATTAAGACAAGACACCATCAAGATAGTTTAAAGTATGAAAAAAAAGGAATATTTTTACATACAAAACCCATAAATTTTATAAATGAAGAAAACTTTCTAACAAGAATATGTACAAAGGGTATGTAATGATTAGAACAGATTCCACACATTAAAAATGTTCACTATTGGGCCAGGGATTTAGCTCAGTGGTTCCGCAGCCTGCCTCGCAAGTGCAAGGACCTGAGTTCGATCCCCAGTACCAAACAACAAACAAAAATGTTCACTCTTACTAGTAACCTGGGAAGTATTTTTTTTCCAGGTACTGGGGGTTGAACTCAGGGCCTTCACACTGAGCTACATCTTTTTTTTTTTTTTTTTTTGAGACAGGGTCTCACTAAGACACTAAATTGCCTCAGCTAGGCACAAACTGTGATCCTTCTACCTCAGCCTCTCAGAGTGCTGTATTATAGACATACACCAGAAAACAAAATGGTAGTTGCCAGACACTAGGGAAGAAGAAAATGGGGAGTTGTTTAATGAGTATAGAGTTTAGGTTTTGCAAGATGAAAAAGCTCTGGAAACTCTCTGTACAATATAAATATACTTAACATACAGAAGAAAGATAATTTTAGGTTTTGCAGGTTTTGCTTCAATTTTTTTAAAAGGATTATACTAAGATGAAACTATCTCTAAGACATTCTTCAATCAAAAAACAAAAACAAAAGACAAAAACAAGCCATGGACCATTACGTAGAGTATGACCACATAAATATAAAAAATAAAGACTAAAATACAACAAACTTATGCCAAGCCCTAAGAAAAAGTCAAGGATAGATCCCAAAATGTTGTGACAACCCTTTAAGGAAAATAAGAAAGGCCAGAAATCATGAAATACCTCACTATTTGGTGTACTTCAATATTGTTTGAAATTTTTTTATCAACTCTATATTCTTGTATTAATATGTCAGAATAGATGGCAGAAATAGAGAAAAAAAGGTAGCAAGGTAGATTTAAACAAAAAGAAGTCAGCAAGCTATGGCCCACAGACCAAAGACCACAGCCTATTATTTAAGGCCTGTGATCTAAGAAGGCTTTTTACATTTCTAAAGAAGTGGGATGGATGGATGGATGGATGGACGGATGGAAGGACAGATAGACAGATAAAGAGAAAGAAAGAAACAGGACTGTAATTTTTAGGGATATATCTCAGTTTGTTTTATCAAAACAGGAAAGAAGCATTGGTTAGTTTTTCTAATGCTCAACTGTCCTTCCATGTTATCCTTACCTTGCCAATAATTTCTTCAAGGGATTCTTTACACTCAAAGAATAATAAATGCCTGCTAAAATGTCCAAACACTTCTGAATAGCTGGATCACATACACCATTTTCATCTGTCTTCTCCAGTAAAGGCACAATCTGTAATTCAAAAATATTCAAAGTAATGTTTTCTAATCTCAAGTACAGCAAAGTAACATGGTTTCAAATATTCTTTTAAGTCTGAATTATACAGTGAAGTGTTTTCCATACTATATTATTAAGGATACTAATTTAAATGACTATTTGAGTATTTATTAACCTTTTTAACCCATGCCCCTACTTTTCTCCTTATCTTCCATACAGATTTCCACTGAGAATCACATATCTATTATTAGCCTAAGGTAAAGAAAAATCTGTGACATTCTTCTTTTTTTTCCATTAAGTTTATTGGTATTTTTTAGGTATACAGTACAGTTACATTCATCATTGGGAACTTGTACCTTTACATGGTGTACCCTGGTTCTTATTTTTTCCCCATTTCCCTGCCCTCCCTTCAATTTTTAAAATCCACAGTAACATGATAATCCTCAAGATCTGTCCACGAACAATTCAGCCTTACCTGTTTAACATAATGGATTTGTGACACTCCATCCTTCAGTTGCACACAATTTAACAGCAAAGAAGCTAGATTCTTCCCTTCCACATCAGCAAAAGCTATACAACACACACACAAAAAAAATTTTCATGACTTAATAATGTATATGTGTGTGTGGGTGTTTAACTCTGCTATGCATTCTACAAAATTTTCAAATTTTTGAACCAAAACAGCAAATAAAACAGTCTCAGATGGACATCTAAGAAAACCATTTGACAGCCAAAACTGAATGCAATAAATATAAAAGTATTAAACAGAACTTGAATATTGCGTGCTTTGGGTACCAGAGATTAAAATACCCTGCTTGCAAACTGGAAAAGAAATATATTAAATAAATAAAAATAAGCAATCACCTACATCTCAAAGTTTCAAGGTCCTGATGACGAACAGTCAATGCAGTAACCTGCATTTCTCTCTTCTTCTTTACACCCATTTTAGACAGAATTAACAGTAGTCTCTGAAAGAAAGAAGAGTTTAATTCATTGTCTACTAGAGGGTTTCTCAACCTCAACATTTTGGGCCAGATAATCCTTTATTGAGGGGTGCTGTCTTGTTCTCCCCAGGATGTTTATAGCCTCTTTGGCAACTTTTACATACTACCCTTAGGAGGTTGCTTGTAGTTAACAGGTCAATGGCTTCATAATGGGCTAAAGAACCTTATTCAAAGCCTATACAATGACTCCATGTCATCCAGAAGTCCATAAAGGAAATGTCACAAGGCTCTTGTCATGTAGTTAGCATTTTCAGCAATATTTACAATGTAAACATCAGAGCACATAAAATAATGCATTAATAACAGATATAAAACTGGGAGGACAGGTTGAATGATGGAATCAGCTCAGTGAACTAGAACAAGCAAAATGAAGTCTACCAAGATGAAAAAGAAATGTAAAACTTTATATTTAAAAACACACATATACATATACACGTAGACAAAGAGAAATACAAGATAAGGTGCCAGAAGGTGAAACTTGACTTGAAACAGCTCAGTATGTCAGCCAACAGCACAACATGATGACTAAAGGCCATATTAGAAGCCAGTCAGATCAAGGATGGGAATGATTCCTAAGTCAGGTGAGGTGAGGTGACATGTGAAGAATGGAAGATGGATCCAAGGATGGACACACACTTGAAGGAGCCACAACAATGGACATTCCGAGGAACAACGGGATTTCTGAAGGGTCTGGAGAGTCACTCTTTCAGGAAACAGAACAGTTAACCAAAATTATTTGGCCTGGAGAAAAGACAAGACGTGTCCCTTAAAATAGCTGCTGGGCTACTTTACAGAAAAGGCTGAGTCAGTGCACTCCAGGGTGACACATTTCAGCTCAAACTAAAGGAAGAACTCTATGGTGCAACTAAGGAATGAGCCATTTGTAAACAGAATTTCCCAAAAGGGGAATATCCGAGAAGAAGGTGATTGAACACAACACCCATCTCCTGGACTCCTGATCCAGCCTAACTTGCTCCCTTTATTTCTACCCTTGCCTCTGAAGAGTCCATTCTCCTCCATCTTTTCAATCTTAAAAACAGCCATAAAATTTTTACTTTTTGTTTAAAACTTTCCAAGGGTTTCTAATTACACTTAAAACAGAATCCAAAGTTGAGACTCTGGCCTTCAAAGTCCTACATAATTGGCCATGGCTTCCTCTGCTATTCATCTCCATCTCCCAGGCTCCCATGTACTGGGGATCAAAGTCACACATTGGCACATGAGCCACATTCCAAGCCTTCAATTGACTCTTCGCCTCCCTAAGACTCTCTGCACTTCCTGGTGCTCTTACTCCCATTTAACCGGGTTTGCTCTTCCCAGTCTGCCTGTGAATGCTCATTTCACCAGATCTCTGCAAGGCTCACCCATCTCATCATTCAAGTTTCTGCTTGAATACCATCTCCCAAGGGAAGCCTTTCATGACCACCGCTCTCACACACACACACACACACACACACACACACACACACACACACCCATCCCTTTATTTTCTTCAAGGCACTTTCACTACCTAAAATTATACTAATCAGTACTCTTATATACTTTCTCCTCTGATAGTTAACTTTATAAAGGCAGCAACTTTGCTTTGTACAGTGTTTTAATTCTCAACTCCTAAACAGTGCCTGGCACATGGTAGGTGCTTAATAAATATTTGGTGACTGAGCAAATGAATTAGCAAATATTTGCCAGAATGCTGTAGAAGGGGTATACACCTGCAGGAGGGTGAGAGTGAGCAGCCTGGTATGTAAAGTGCATTCTACAGGTAAGTGATAGGTTAGTCCTGACACTAAAGAATTTATTGTCCATAGAAGAAATCAATACAGGGCCGGGAAGTAGCTCAGCAGCACAGCGCCTACCTGGCCAGTGCAAGGTCCTGAGTTAGATCCCCGGTACCACAAAAGAAAAAAGAGAGAAAGAAAAAAAAAGAAATCAATACAGTAATGGCAGGTGAATAACACTTAACCAAAAAAAATGGTAATCAAAATAGACGTAGCTTGAAAGTCAATGACAGAATATTAATTTGCAAAGTGATATGATTAGATTTAGGGAAATAACTAAGGTTCACTTCCAAGGAAAGTGACCAGGGCAGTGAGAATGGACTGAGGAAGGTAACTGGGGAGACAATCTCTGTTCAATTTTGCAAGAGAATATGCTTCTGCAACTCTCAGGACTAAACAGTCGGTGATCATGCGTGCTCAATCTAAGCCTAAACGTGTGTCCTGTTGAACCGTTCCCCATCCTCGCCCCAGTAAGAAAAATCCCGTCCCCCAGTGCCCAGATTAGGCGGCCATAAAGTAGGTGCCCAGCACATTCAATTTGTGGGTCTCACATATTGCTTCTCTTTTGATTGCTGCTTCTCTCCTGTCTACACCTTTCTGAGTCCCACACCCTTATCTGGGAGATTTCCAACCACGTGGAGCCCAAAGAATGACAGGTGAAAAAAAAAAGCGGTTAAAGGGCAGTCTCCATGGAGACCTACAAGACAGGAAATCAGTTTCACAATCCCCGAACGCGACGCTAAAACACCGGAAATTGGTGTGACTCTCCATACTGCCCGGGCGAGCGGCTAGCAGCAGAGTCCCGCGCTATTGCGGGTCTGGCAGGCAAAGTGCCTGTATGCCAAACCTCGTGGCCTTGGGAATCTTGGGCTGAGTCGCAGCTATCTGGACAAGTCCCGGAAGCTGGTATAGTCTACGACGTCTCCACTGCTCGCAACGTGATCTCCGGTTGACTACCGGGTCGGGGCGAAAGGAGGCGGGCCCAGGACCTGGAAGAGGAAACTTCGCGAGAACAAACGGAACTCAGTTCCTCCAATCGAGAGGCTGGCGACGTCATGACGTCACGGGGTGGGGGTGCTACCGTGGGAGGTTTGGTTTGCTAGTGTCTGGCTCGTTGTAGAACCCTTAACGAAGGTGTCCATCCTAGTGAGTGGGTGGGAGCTTTGTCCACCTCGTACCCCTACTGTGGTCGGCAAAAGCTGTGGCCTCCTCAACCCTGTTTGCCTGGGAAACACCTTTCTCTCTGTCCGATATTCCACTCATTTTACCCAGCTCCAAGACAGAATGAAAACTACTTTGCATTCGGGCCCTGGGAACTGGGAGCCCAGCGACTGCACAGCGGGGAGAGATAGGGTAAGGTTTGAGCCGAAGCCAAAAGAGTTTAGGCGAAAATGTGAAGTGCCCTAATAAACGGACGCCAAAATGCATTTATTCACTCAGTAACTAGTTAATGAGCTGTACAGGCAGAGTGCTCTTTGAAAGTTGCCCCTAAAGGCTATATATATCACAGCTCCTATAAATGGTCACACCGGTCCTTTAAAAATAAATGAAAACGGTGCTGAACACTGCACTAGGAGCGGGGACGAGATCAGGAAATCGGCATGATGCTTTCTTGAGGAGCATTGGTTGAGGAAATAAGAACATTCCAGGAGCCACTTTAGTTGACTTTAGGCTTTAAATCATTATTTTTCTGAATTTTGTGTCACCTTGCTCTATTTTTCTTTGTAGTTTTCCACAAGTGTATGTTTCACCAATCAGGATCTTGTTTTGTATGATTGTTAACTTTGTTTATGGGATTGTGTATTTATTCTCCAGTAATTCTCTGCTTTCAGCCTTGCTTTGGGGACCACACAAAAGCAGGTGGTTGGAGTTGTTTCGTTCACTGTTACGTAGTAGCCCACTACTTAATATACTGTACTAGATTTACATATCCATTCTAGTACCTCTGGATCTTTTAATTCTTTGCAGCTCATACTCTTAGCAGTACGGCAGTGAATTATTTTATGCGTGTCAACTAGTAAGTGTGTAGAGAACTTCCTCTACGATAATTTTTTCCTAATAATATTTTTGTGACTGAGACTAATAGTAAGAAGTACATTGTACTTTGGAACCCAGTACATATAAGTACTCACACATATTTTACTGAAACAGTTTCTTGCAATGTTTGTTACTCTTCAGGAGCTCTAAGATTTTTTTTAATTATGATAATGTGTACATAACACTATCATTGTGATCATTTTAAGAGTTCTTAATATGTGTTACTTAAATCCTACTGATATAATTACATAACCCTCAATAGATCCCAGATTTTTTTTCTCCCTTTCTCATCAAACTATTTGAAAGTAAGGAGCATACATTTTGACTCTTCACCCCACACAATGGGAGGTATCCTAGGAGAAAACATGACAATGTTAAGAGGTAATGATTGCTACTGTAAAAAAAAAAAAAAAAAAAAAAAAAAAAAAAA